CCCTGGCTGAGATTTCCTTGCCATGTTAAAAATGAGCATTTCTTTTAGAGTAGTATAATAGAACGTGGCACTTCTTGATAAAAATAGAACTCCTTGACTTCTGCCCAGGCTGCCTGGTGGGCAGGCTCACAGCCTGGTTCTCCCTCAGCTTTCCACGTTATTAATTTTTAGTGCCAAAAGACAGTTCTGCTGCTCCGGGCCTCCAGCCTAGCTCTGCTAGATTGCAAGGCCTTTCTCAGCCTAATTCCCATCAGCACAGAGCTTGGAGAAGCCCATTCCTCATCCTGCTGCCTGCAGCTGGCAGATCTGCTCCTCGAGCAGCAGCCAAGACCCATGCTCCTGGCTTAGAAGGTCCGTCCTGACAGCCATCTCAGCTGGGCGGCCCAGGGCTCCTCAGAACACAAGACCCTGCCAATTTATTACTCACGATGGCACCAGGTAGATGCAGCTTCACCCAGTGATCTGCTGGCAGTGCCCCCTTTTCCTCCAGTCCTAGGCTTCTTCATGTCTAAACCACATGGAGAACTAGAGAACTAGGGTCAGCTCTTTGGGAGATAAATGTCACCTTCCAGCCTGGGGTCAGTGGCAGAGTCTTGGCCCAGGTCTGGACACAGAGAGGAGGCTGTCATGCCTGCCAGTGCCACCCAGCCCCAGCTAGAAATAGTCGTTGCTAAAATGAGCCTGCTGTTTGCCTAGATGTGTGTTTCCAAATAATCCGGAGACCTAGAGAATGGGAAAGGGGAACACTGTATTCCCCACTTCCCGCTGCAAAGAGAGAACAGTGCAGCAGCCACAGGCAAGGCGGGTTAGAAAGCCTGTTTGCTGGCAGAGTACTGTCTATAACTTGCCTCCGTAGTTCTTCTAACACTCTCTCCTTCCCCCTCGTCCCCTCCCATGGTCCAACGCTGAGGGTCACACTAACAGCTGAGAGGCCTCCGGTGTATCTCAGAGCTCCTGATCTGCTGACATTTGAAATTTTTCTGGCTATAAGTTGCTCATTTGGCAGCTGCTGTTCTGTAGCCCTGAATCCTCCTAAATGAGACCCTTCAGAGAAAAGTACAAAGAAAACAGCCATCTTTCAGTTTGGAAGAGGACAATTTAAAATGGATTCTGCCTGGTACTGTAAATGCCCAAGAACAAAGCACTGACTTTTTGGCAAAGTTCTGGCAAATCAGAAACCGTGGAGTGTCAGATTCTCAATGACCGCTCCCTCGTGTAATACCTCAAAAACAAGTCAGTGAGCTGCAGTACCTTTACTATTTTTAAGCTGACTTAAAAGATGTAAGAAAAAAATTGACCAGGAGAAGCATCCCAGCAACCCAACCACGGCCAGTCTTCCCTGGACACCATGAACCACATGGCCCAAACCTTTTTCACCCCCGCCAGCACCAGCTGTCCCCCGAACTATGAGATGCTGAAGGAGGAACATGAGGTGGCTGCGCTGGGGGCGCCCCACAACCCCGCGCCCCCGACATCCACCGTGATCCACATCCGAAGCGAGACCTCTGTGCCCGACCACGTCGTCTGGTCCCTGTTCAACACCCTCTTCATGAACTCCTGCTGCCTGGGCTTCATAGCGTTCGCCTACTCTGTGAAGTCTAGGGACAGGAAGATGGTTGGCGACCTTCCTCTTTCTTCCTCTCCTTCTCTCCTTTTTTTACTTTTCAACATCCTAGTTCCTCACCTCTACTCAATACATTCCTCTGAACACCTGATTCCTTGTGATTCTCCCGTCCCACTGGAAAAAAAAAATCTTCAAACAACCCTACTATTATTATTTCCATTTTAAAGATGAGGAAATTAAGGAACAGATAAGTAACTTTCCCAGCTGTAAAAAAAAAAAGAAAACAGCCATCACCAGAGTCCCCCCAGCCAGGGACAGCCCTTGGGTACATTTTGCAATACTCCGTTTTGTTTGCTCTCAGCCCGCTCTTGCCCATTCGCTCTACTGCGTATACTTTAAAAATTCCCCGTTTTTTGTTTGGCGTTACATCCTAAGCATTTCCCTGCATCATCCAAACTCTACGGGATATCATTTTAAACACACACACACAGTGTCCTCTGGTGTGGTTGTATGACAAGTCACTTAACTATTTCACACCCAAAGCCTCCCCTTTTCCAAACTCTTCCCTGGGATCTCCTGAAGGATACAGCAAGATTGGAGCAGGGCTGGATGGAGCCTGCTGTCCGTCCTGTGTCTAGGAATGATCCCGAACCTTAACATGGATGTTAGCTTCCTATGCTGTTGTAACAAATCGCACAAACTGGGAGCCTTCAAACACACATTTATTGCCCGGTAGTTCTGGAGGTCAAAGGTGCAGAATGAGTTTTGCTGGGCTGAAACCAAGGTAGGGCCATGCTCTCTCCTGAGGCTCTAGGGGAGAATCTGCTTCCTGGCCTCTTCTAGCTTGGAAAGCTGCATTCCTTGGCCCATGGTCCCCCTTCCTCCTCTTAGAGGCCAGCAGCGCAGCATTCTCAGAGCTCCCTCTGCTTCCATCTGGACATTGCCTTTCCCCTCCTGCAGCCAGATGTCCCTCTCTCCCTCTTATAAAAAACACTTGTGATGACACTTAGGGCCTATTGGGTGATCCAGGATCATCTCAAGATCTAGAACTTAATCTTTTTTTTATTTGAGACATTTTCTTGCTCTGTCACCTAGGCTGGAATGCAGTAGCATCATTTCGGCTCACTGCAACCTCTGCCTCCAGGGTTCAAGCAATTCTCCTGCCTCAGTCTCCCGAAAAGCTGAGATTACAGGCACATGCCACCATGCCCATCTAATTTCTTTTTGTATTTTTAGTAGAGACAAGGTTTCGCCATGTTGGCCAGGCTGGTCTCGAACTGCTGACCTAAGGTAATTCACAGTCTTGGCCTCCCAAAGTGCTGGGATTACAGGCGTGAGTCACCACACCTGGCCTCAAAATCTATAACTTAAGCGGTATCTGCAAAGTTTATTTTGCCACATGAATTAACACTTGCAGCTTCCAGAGACCTGGATAGATCTGTGGGGACATGATTCAGCAGACCACGCCAGCCCAGAGCTCCAATCCTGAAGCTTGAGGCTGGCGAGTGTGCCCTTGGCCCCTCTCTGCTCTGCCTTTTGATAGTCTGGAGTAGCTGCACCCATGTTGAATGCTCGGCTAGATTGCCTTGAGTACAAGAAGAATGTGACTGCTATTTCAGCTTGCAAATCTCACACTGAATTTCTCTTGGGCCCATGTCAACCTGCAGCTGTACAGGAAAGGAAATTCTGGAAAATGTATTTCTAGCTTAGCTAAATTGACCCAGCACAGATCCACACAAAGGCATGAACCTCTGTGGTTTCAGATTAAGAAATGGAGTAGCTTCTGGGCTGAGATATTCTCTCATTCTTCATTCAGATACCCTTCCTCTCAGATGGTCTCTGAGGCCTCCCACAAAAAGTCCCTGTGGCCTCAGCAGCTGGACCTGAGAGCTGTCGGTTTACTTCTCCGGAGCTTTACTGATGTTAAAATGAATTGTTTATACTTACTTAATGTTACTTTATTTTTACTTGCAAATCAAATATCTGTGGAAAAATATCTTTAGCCATATTCCTGATTTTGCCTGATGCCAAAACAGGTGGAGTTGATTAGAAGCGGATGTGAAAGATCGTGGTGGGTTAATTATCACTAGCGATGTCAGGTGAAATCAACGACCTATGAAAGGTGGTTTTCTGCTTGAACTGAACAAGCCTGCTTTTCTACAACATCTGTTACTTTCTAACAAATGTAGCTTTTCAAGGTCCTTAGGACTAAACCTTTCAATATTACTGGAAAGTTCTTTGCTCTTCTTAGCAAATAGACTGAGAAACTCAACTTTGTGATAACAAGATACAGAATAAATACATATTAGATGAAATTCTAGGCTGCGACCTATATGAGCTTTTCTTTATCTACCAAGATGTCAGGGCCTGTTCAGGGAGTTCATCTCCAGCCACCTGTGCTAATCATCGCCCATCCTTTCCAAGTATCTAATGACACTCCCAGCTGAGGTCTCTATACTTTCCAGCCAAAAATGAGTTACAACATATGGAACGTCTAATTTTCTGTTTCCATTCTAGTTATTTTATTCTTCGGAGCTCGTGGGCAAATGCTCATCTGACTTCCATAGACACAGAGCAAGCAGACTACCACACCAAGAAGAAGAGGGAGAATATTTACCAGCCACGGAACATCTGCTCTGTGCTTATATTTCATATGCATTATCTCTAATTATCAAAATAAGGTATTATTATTATTATTATTGTTCCCCAATCACAGATGACAAACTGAAGATCACATTGGTTAAATACTTGTCCTACATTAACTTAGCATTTGGGCAGAATAGCTGGAATGAAAACTCAGGTCTGTACATCTCCAAAACACCCTAAGCCTTACCACACTCACGGGACACGGCTGCAGCTGCATATTGTGAAAGGAAAATTGAAACCTGGGAACCCAATTCACTATGCCAAAAAGGCAAAAACAAAAAACAAAAAAAGCTGAGTCATGCAAGAAACTGCCTTTCCTTCTGCTCTTTGGTAAATAGCTATAGATAAAAGGTTAAATAGCTCCACAGGTAGCTACTCTATGTTCACTTTATCTTATGTAAACTGCTGATCTACTGAGCATGAGACAAATACGTAATTGACTAGTCCCCTACCTGTTCCTTCTCCTTTGCAACATGTGGATTCAGTCATGTGACCATACCCTGCCTCCCCTGAGCCTTTAAATCAAAGCCCTCAAAAACGTCTTTGGAGAAAGGCACAGACTAGAGACTGTTTCTGTGATTTCACGTTTTTCACTTCCAGGCATGCCCTTAACCTTGGCACAACAAATCTTCAAATTGGTTGAGACCTGTCTCAGATACTTTTTGGTTTACAAGATGGAGGCTGAAATTAAAGAGAAAGACCCTCACTCAACTCACAGAACAGCAGAGCGAGAAGAAGACTTAGTTGAGAATTCCCTGTTCACAGGAGAAAACTGAAGCCCAGAGAGTGGATGGCCAAGTCCAAGGTCATACAGCCAAGGGCATCCGATCAGGCAGGATCCAGGTTTCCTGCTCCACCACTCTTTCTACAGCCCGTACCACCTGTTTCATGCTGTGTCCCTTCACCATCCAGCTGCACATTTGCAATCAGAAGCCGGAACTCTTGAGAGTGTGTATGGAGCCAAAGAAGGGAGAGCAATGGTGGCGGTGGCAGATTTCATGCCTTATGGTTTATTTTTGGATTTTAATCTTAAGTGGACAGCAATTTGGAACAGTACCAGCACCTTGTTGGATTGTGCTGTTTGGGGGAGGTGACACAGAGTATTTTAAAAGACAGAGCAGGTTAAGAACTTTTCATAAAGAATCAACTGAGAAAAAATAAAATAGAAACAGAATGTCCCACATTAGGGCTGAGCATCAAGCAAGCTTGTTTTCTTTTTTTTTTTGAGATGGAGTCTCGCTCTGTCACTCAGGCTGGAGTGCAGTGATGTATTCTTGGCTCACTGCAGCCTCTGCCTCCTGCGTTCAAGTGATTCTCCTGCCTCAGCCTCCCAAGAAGCAGAGATTATAGGTGTGCACCACCACACCTGATTGATTTTTGTATTTCTAGTAGAGATGGGGGTTTTGCCACGTTGGCCAGGCTGGTCTTAAACTCCTGATGAAGAGATCCACCCGCCTCGGCCTCCCAAAGTGCAAGGATTACAGGCATGAGTCACCGCACCTGGCCTCAAACAAGCTTTTAAATTGCATTCAGAAGTGCACCAACTAGATGCAGACCTCTGGCCTGGAGACAAAATGGGAGCTTCTTGGTGTCTGGCCTGCTTTTGCAGAAATCAGGGGGTTGTAGACACCAGGCAGCCGCTGCACATCAGACAGGAGTGCTTTCAGCAGCAGGCAACAGAAAGCCTGCCAATGTGACTGAAATAAGAACGGCTTATTTTTATCCCTAAACAGAAGCTTCCAGCACTAGTTCCAAAGGTCAGGGCACTGAGCTGGCATCCCCATGATACGCTTTTCCTTCCCTTCACCTTTGTAAGATGCCTGGCACAGCTGTGAGCATGAAATATCTGTGCCACGTGGGAGCACATGAGGAGACAAGTGGGGAATGGGGTCTCCTCCATCCTCTGGCCCCTCCTGAGTCTCACTCAGCTCTGTCCCCAGGCTGGCTTCTCTCGTGGTAGCAGAAGGACCCCCACAGTACCAGGCCTCACACCTATCCTGCTGGTAAATTGCAGGTGCTGTCAAGGCTTCCTGCCTTCACATATGAAGTGCTCCTCGGCAGCTGCACTGCTGTTTACTGCACGCACTGCTCTGCTGCTTCTTGGATGCATCGGTGAGCTATGCTCTGTGACAAGCCACACCGAAATACAGGGTGTTTCTGTCAATCCAGGCCAGGCATGGCCCACCTTGGCTTGCTGTGGCATCTAGGGTCAGCTGGCAGGTCAGCAGGGGGGCCAGCTGCTCTGGAAGAGTCTGGACAGGATGAATTGGTTCTCCTTCCATGTGCATCTTGCATCCCTCCAGCCAAGGATTTGAACCCAGGTCGCATCTGACTCCAAATGCATGAGGATGGAGCCCAGAGTGACACAGAGGAAGAGGCCCTTGGATGGACACATGAGGAAGGTGAGGTCAGGAGAGGTGATGTGCTTGAGATCACCAGGCTCTTCTGACCCTGGGGGACCTTCTCCTACAATGTCCCTGAGCCTCCAGACCCAGCAGGTGATTCCCCAAAAGTGGTTTATGAGAAATGCACCTGATAGCGATCACTTAAGCATCACCTGAGAAAGACCCTTATGGCAAGTGCAGGTGAATGTGGTTTGGAGTTCTAAGCCAAGGAATCTGGGCATGGCCAACCTGGAGATTCATTTCTATTCCTTATCTATGAGGAACATCTGAGCTCCTGTCCCGTCCTGTGGAACACAGGCAGTACAGGGGATCAAGGCCTCTTATTTTGTGTTAGGTAAATGTTGCAGGCGGAGACTGTTGGGGGAGGGTGCTGAGTGGAGATACTCATATATGCCGCATGCTTTTTGCAAGGTCTGTGGTTCTCCTGCCTAGCCCACCACTGCTAAATGCTCTCCCCTGCAAATAAGCTCCAGTAAGATGCCATGTCTCCTTCACCAGCCCTGGGTCTCTTCTTTGGCCTCTCAAACCTGCTGCCATCCCCATTGGAGTAGACAGAGGTTCAGCATAACAGGAGTCACCAGCTGGGGAAAGGCATTGCATTTGGATCTCCCTACACAGGCCTGACTCTAACATGGAGGGAAAGAAAAGGGATTGTGCCCTGCTCAGTGAAGCCCCCACTGAGCCTCCTATCCTGGACTGTGGACATATTTTTTTCTTAGGGGGTCTTTACCTTAACTGCAGGTGGGTTTGTGTCACTGCACATGTGTTCTTATCTGGGGTTAGTAGATTCAACTCAGTTCCACAGGTTTACTGGGCATTGCCTCCCATGCTTGCGGCCAGGAGGATGCAGGGAAATGTGGCTACCACCATGCCCACTCTTCTTACGATCACAGCACAAGTCATTGCACACATGTAGGGGCCTGGCACTGTGCTCTGGCACTTTGCCTCCGTCATCCCCTCTAACCTCTGAGCTCTGTGAGGGAGGCATTACTACTATCCCTAGTATATAGACAGGAAAATTGAGTTAGATTGAGGTTCAGAGAGGTTAAGTCACTTACCCAAGGTCACAAAGCTAGAGAGTGGCAGGCCCAGCATCCAAGGCCAGCAACATGAGCTCTGTCTGATCCAAATGATGACTATATTTCATCAGTGCTCTGAGAACTCTCCAAATATCTATATCAACTGTCATATCTTCATTGCCCAGACATAGACGTGGAGCCACTTGGCTGAGGTCCCATCGAGATTTAGGGGCAGGACCCCTGATGTGAGGTGGAATGCTTGGTCACGCGTTCCTCCCTCCATCAGTCACTCCTGACTGGTGTGGACACTCAGTGCACCCGGTCTTGTGTGCAACGCACTGTGGGAAGGGGATCAAGGACTTTGGCCAATCCCAAGCATTTCCCCAGAATGTCCCAGGTGTAGAGCCCATTGGGAGGAGCTGGGAGGCAGGCTGGTGTCCCCAGGCCCGTTCCATCCCAGCTGTGCTGTGCTAAGCCGAATCTCTTTGGGCAGCTTGTTTCACCTCCTGAGCCTTCTCTTTCTGAACTGCTAAATGGGATGAGTCCACCTCCGCTTGGGTTTTGGTGAAGATTAAACAAGATATTAGCTGTAAAACATTTCATCCAGGGTCTGGTATACAAGAAACACTTGATAAATGAAAGCTTTATTGAGTACGATGATCGGTCACCCCAGGTGTCATTGGAGTCTCAGAGCAGGAACAATGCCTAACTCATAACTGATGCCCAGTAAACATTGGGTGGATGCACTGTTCAGGAAGACAGGTATTCATGTTCAGTTTTACGGAGAAGGAGATAGAGGCCAGAAAAGGAAGAAAGTGCCCAGGTCAGCTGGCTGGTAAGAGGCAGAGCTGGAATTTGAACCAGGGTCTGCCTGCTCCAGCTCCACTGCACCGCAACTGCACTGTCTGAGAGCCACAGGCACCTTGTAGTCAGGCAGGCAGGGAGCTGCCTTCTTGCTGTCCTGCTGGATCCTGCCCTGGTGTGGTCCTCCCTGGAACCAGGGGTGGGGCTGGAGGGCAGGGAGCGGAGAGAGATCTCTGGGGAACTGCACCATCTGCACAAAGGGACCTGCTGGGCGTTCTGCTGAAAGCTCTCCGCATGCACCACTGCCTGTCTGCTGCCTGCCGGTTCTAAGCTCAAGAGGGGGTGAGGGCCCCACATCTGCATTGTGTTTAGGGTGGCCAGTGGAGGTCCTTCCCAGACTCCAGCTCTGGTCACAAGCCCAACCCCCTCCTTGCTCCTGTCTGGCTCACCTGGAATCTCTGCCTCACTCTATGACCAGAGACCCCTTTTGGAGCCCAGGTCACCCCTACTACTCACGCCCCTCATTTGGAAATTTTCACAATCTACCTCTTGTTCATGATTGCATCCCATCTAAAACGCTTTTCCATTTCTCGGAATTTTTCCCAGGTAGGCTATGATTGCCACAAAGATAATTGCAGTAATTAATGTGCATTTATGTATCTCTGAAAAGTTACTAGAATGTCAAACTCATGACTTTGTCTATTGTTTTGACTAGATTCAAGCTATTTTTTGTATTATAAAAACAAAGTTTTTTATTTATAATTTTTGTGGGTGCACAGTAGATGTATGTATTTATGGGGTACCTGAGATGTTAGATTGAAGCTGTGAAGTGTGAGTGTGTAAGTTCACCTCTTTGCAGATCAGGGAATTACAAGTGACATCCTGAAGCATGACCACAAATGTTTTTAATTAAGCCCAACTACTAAGCGTCCAGAGTTTTGTGGCTTGGACAAGGTGTTTCCAGAGTGGACCCTGGTCTATTCTTGCTGGTTCTTTGCAGCAGTCCATCAACCAATGTTGCCTACAGCTCGAGAGCCTTCTGCAGGCCAGGGCTGCTCTGTGCACCGTCCCATGTTACTATCCAATCTCCACAGCAGCCTGAAAAACAGACCTTCTTTTCTCTCATTTACACATACGTGAACAAGACTCAGTGAGTGAGAAAACATGACCGAAAGCCAGGTGGACACGTGGTCGCAGGACCTAAACCCACCTCCCATGATGTGGTCTGGCTATAGTTTGAAGCCTAGGTATTTCAGTAGCTATCCCCAGGCCTGGCACGTCAAAGAGGCTCTGAAAATGTTTGCTGAGTAAGTGATGAATCAGCAATTTCTGATTTTCTCCTAAACCTAGAGAATAAGGGGGTTGTCTGCAGTCGCCCAGGGCATCCACGGCAGAGATACAAGTAAAGCCCAGATCTCTGCATCTCTGGTTCAAGGCCCTTTGTACTACACACTGCTGTCTCTTTGTCATCATTAAAAACAAGGCTCAAGGGACATGTTTTCTAAGCCTCACTTCCCCATCTACAAAAGGGTAGAGTGGAATGGAACGTCTCTGCTTCACTCCAGCATCAACAAGCAGGGAATTCTGATGAATTCAGTTTGACTTCTTTCCACGGGTGTGTTCTAAGCAGCCTCTTTGTTTGAGAAGCTGCCCTCAGCCAGAGTTGGATAAGCTAATCCTCCCTCCCCAGTCTCCTCTGGGTAGGGATGAAGACCCCGCTGGGGCTGGAAGAGGCAGAGAGGTGTATGGCATCACTTATAAATTGATTCAAGTGAGCCAGGAAAGCAGTGAAGAAACGAGAAACCTGAGTGATGATGCGGTGGAGGAGCAGGTTTGGAAAGAGGCTTCTGGCTGTCCGGCCTGCAGCTCTGGCTTCCTCATCAGCCTCACTCTGGTCTCTGGTGTTCTCTGGCTCTCATCCATTTGTCTGTCTTTCTCTTTGCTAGTTATTGATTAATCTTTCCTGGAGCTGAGCTAGAATTCTGGTGTTTATAAGCAGGTAACTAGCTAAGCACTAGTTGTTAACTTTGGAGTTAGTGGATAACCACAGGACTGGGTTACTAAGCTTTTTCAGTTGAAAAATAAGTTAACTATTAATTTGGTGTTTACTGACCATTTTCCTTGAGGACATCAAGACAGCGGGTTCTCAAAGGACCGCCTGTATGAGAATCACTTGGTGCTTTAAAAACCAGCACACACCTGATCCCAATCTGGGGCATTTAGAATCTTTGCACGGTGGTGCCCCAAGAGTTGCAGTGTTAGTGAGCTCCTGGTCACCCTGGGCATATAAACTTTGAGAAGTCCTAAAGGTGTTACCTGCTTACCATGGTGTTGGAGGTTACCCCAGGGCTTAGTCATGCATAGTTCTCAGGCTCAGCTATGCACTGGAATTGCCTAGGAGCTTAAAAAATTTCTGATGCCTGGGCCCTACCACTAACTATCCTGTTTTGCTGGGTCTGAGATGCTACTTAGGCACTGGGTGTTTTTAAAGCTTCCAGGTGATTTCAATCACTATGTGGTTGAATTGAGAATATCATTCTTGCCACTCAAAGTGTAACTTCCCAGGTTGGCTGCATTGGTCTCATCTAGGAATTGTTAGAAATTCGGAATCTCAAGTCCCATCCCACACCTACCGGATCTGGTTCTGCATTCTAGCATCATTCCCAGGCAATTCCTGTGTACATTATTGCCTGGGAAACACTGCGGTAGAAGATTGCAAATGTCCAAGACCCCAAAGAATGCAGTTATAGTGGAGAGATAATAAACGTAGGGAGAATTTTTTTTAGGGTAGTGTCCTTTCCTGGGAGGCCTCTCAAAGCATACCACTATGGTGATTACGCACTCAACAAGCACATAGCTTTGTTTGCATGAAATAAGTCGTAAGAAGTTACGCCGGGCACGGTGGCTCACGCCTGTAATCCCAGCACTTTGGGAGGAGGCCGAGGCGGGTGGATCATAAGGTCAAGAGATTGGGACCATCCTGGTCAACATGGTGAAACCCCCGTCTCTACTAAAGATACAAAAAATTAGCTGGGCACGGTGGTGCGTGCCTGTAATCCCAACTACTCAGGATGCTGAGGCAGGAGAATTGCCTGAACCCAGAAGGCGGAGGTTGCGGTGAGCCGAGATCATGCCATTGCACTCCAGCCTGGGTAACACAGTGAAACTCCGTCTCAAAAAAAAAAAAAAGAAGTTACATAATGGTGGATTCGTAGTTGTTGTGATATGGTAGGGGGAAATACAAGTCTTAGGCTACATTTTTTGTTAACCTTATTTTAGATCTAAAAAATTCTGAAGTGGAGAGGAAAGAGGGAGGCTTCCGGCATTGAGTGTTGTGGTTTGTTGTCCCCAGTTTTAAGCAAGTTTCTTCTTCCACTGGCACAGTCAGATCTGAGTCTTTGCCCTCAAGGAAGAAAATGAAGTTAGACCTGGTGAGTTGGTAAGAGCTGCTGACTTCTGGGGTCACCACATTCTTTCCAAAGTGGGTACAAAGAAGTGATCTCTAGTGTGCTCTGGAACCTCATTTAGTTGATGGCAGGCCCACTGAACTCTAGCTGGTGATATCACGCTTCTCTGGGATCATGTAGTCCAATTTACTGAGGCCCTACAAAAATAACTGACTTATCCCAGGTCAGTGAGCTTGTCAGTCTAAATTTCCTTCTGTGGCTTGCAAGGCCATCCACCATCTGACCCTCTTCTCTCTCCCTCTCCTCTCCTGTCTGTTATCCATTGCTGTGGAATAAAGCAACACAATCCCAGCAGCTTAAAACAATATGCATCTATTACCTCATGCCTTCTGTGGCTCAGGAGTCAGGGCATGGCCCTCTGCTTAGGGTCTCACAAGGTTGAAATCAAGGTGCATGCCATGGCTGCAGTCTCATCTGAATACCTGACCAGACAAGGATGCCTCCTAAGCTTGGACAATTGTTCGTCTGAACTTGCAGGGTTCATTTCCTTGTGCTTGTATCATTGAGAGACTTGCTTTCTCTGCCTGCTGGTTGGAGGCCATTCACAGCTCCTAGAGGCTGCTCTCATTCCTTGCCATGTGGGGTTTCCCAGCTGGCTCCTTGCTTATTAGAAGCAAGGAGTAAGAGATGCCAGCAAGATGGGCAGCATATCTTATGTAATATAGCTACATAAGCATGTAGAACCACACATCATGTTGCCTTTGTCCTGTTTCCTACAGGTTAGAAGCAAGGCACAGGTCATACCTACATTCAAGGAGAGGGGACTGTACAAAGGTTAAACTGCAGGAGGTGAAGAACTTGAGAGCCATTTTAGACGCTGTCTTCCACACTTTACAATCTACTTTGCAACTACACTGAGCTCTTAGCAACTCCCTGGGCCCTCTGAGCACCTCCTGTCTTTCTGCCTTTGCATATGCTGTTCCCTCTGCCTGGAATTCCATCTCCTCTGCCTTTGCCCATCCCATCCTAAGGCCTCTGCTTAGATGCAATTTCTCTGGGCTCTTATGAGCAGCATCCAAATCTGTGCTGGTTTCTTCAAATGCTTCCTCTGCATCGTAATTTTTCGGTTTACTTGTCAATCCCCTCCCACCCCTGCCAGTACCTAAAGTAAAATCTACATAGAGTTTGGTACATTGTGGACGCTCATGAAGATTTGTTGAATGATTAAATGAAATAACAAGCCCCAGCTTGGAACCCAGGGCCATAATTTCCAGTTCTGGTCCCTGTCTGCTGTCCAGGGCCTGTCTAAGGGCTCATCTCTCCCAGGAGCCCCTGTATCATCTCAGTAGCTGAACCAGTGGCGTATCTGACCTCCCCTGACTTTAAAACCGTTTTCCCCCTGCAATTCTTAGATGTGCTTCCCTAGAACCTCTCTCGCTGTTCTTTGCCTTCCCCCTCCCTCCCCACCCCCCGCCGCCCCCCCTCCCTCCCGCCCCACCTTGTATCTCCGTGGTCCTGCCAGAAATCAGAAGCTCATTATTAAACCAGGAGCTGCCTTACATTATCCCAGAGACTACAGATGGAAAATACTTGCCTCTGTCTCAGCTGAGGACCGACATAGTAAAGGCTCCTTGAGATGTTGGCTGTCAAAGAGGGGAATAAGTTTTTCATCTGCATGAGTAATTGTTTCCTGTTTTATCCAGAGAGACAACAGATTTACATCCCAGACACATTCACGCTGGGCCAAGAGCAGCTGCCATTGCAGATTCGAGTCATGTACATTTCTCCCTCCTCCTTCCTGGAGTTGGAACAGAAGCTGGGGAGGTGAGAGTGCAGGTGAGACAGGATGGGGCTCTGGAATATGTAGACTGTGAGAGGGAAAATCAGGATGGTGCTTCGGTGGAGGTGGGAGCTGGGCCAGGGTCTTGGCCAGTCAGGAAGGCTGGTGAAGCAGGTACTGGGGAGGCAGAGGGCCAACTTTCCTTCCTCTCGTTTCCTGACAGCCCACTCTCCAGTCCTATCAGCTCCAAAATGGATTCTGCCTCTAGCGCCTTCTCAACACCTCTCTCCACCGTTCCAGCCCACACCACCCCGTCCCTTCCTAGGACTTTCACAACAGCCTCCCGAGTAGTCTTGGCTTCTGCTCTCAAACCCTGCAGGGCCACAAGATGGATCCTTTTAATCCACTTTCCTTGGTCTCTCAGCCCTTGGAATGAAACCTCAGCCCACAGCCCTGTGTGACCTGCCGCCCGTCCTCACCTCCTAACCCCATCTAAGATCTCCTCCCCTCCTCTCATCAGCCTTTGTTTCTCAAACTCCCCAAGCTTGTTCTGCTTTTGGGACCCTCACACTGTTTCTGTCTCCTGGGAATCTGTGCCTCCTCTGCCAGACCATGCAGCTGGCTCTCTCTGCTCAAATACCCTCTTCTGAGGGGGTGTTCCTTGGCACGGTAGTCTGGCATGGTACCCTCATCCATCACGCCAGCCCATCGCAGGGCATGATTTTCCCATAACACTTTTATTGCCTTCTAGAATAACATCAGTTGGTTTTGTTTGTCGTCTGTCCCCACTGCTAGGAAGGACATGGATGAAGCAGGGAGGGACATGCCTGTCTCACTCGCCTCTGGCTCTGCTGCATCTAGGACCAGGTCAGCACAAAGCAGGAGCCTGAGAAATATTTATTAAAGAAATGGAAGTCAGGTGACAGAAGGTAGGAGGAGGGAGACCCCTCAAAGAGGTAAATTTGGTATCTTAGCAAGTGGGTGACTACCACTGTCTGCGGACAGCTGATACATGAGGATTCCACACTAACGACAGCAGGAACGGGCGCTACTATTTTTTTAGATGAATTTTAGTTTCTGAAATTTTCCAAAACACTTTTATCAACAGAAACTGGTTACACATCCCTCCAACAGGGAGACTTAGCAGGGAAAGCTGCCCCCTCAAACACTAAAGGCACCTGGAGTTACTCATAGTGCTGGGGAATGCCCAGAGGAGGAGGAGGGCAGAGGGAGAGAACATTTAAAACAATCTCAAACAAGAACAAATTCTGACATGTATATCTCGAGTGATGAAACGTGTAACACTCAGCAAGCTCCTACACTTGCCAGATTTTATTGCTTCATGCAGTAATATAAAATGTGCTTCACAAAGCTAGAAGTCTGCACAGAATATAGGGTTCTGATTTATATTTTATTTTTTATTTATTTTTTTTTTTTGTAGAGATGGGATCCTGCTATACTGCACAGGCTGGTCTCAAACTCCTGAGCTCAAGCAGTCCTCCTGCCTTGGCCTCCCAAAGCACTGAGATTACAGGTGTGAGCCACCACACCCAGCCTGATTTCTATTTTATAAAGAGGGAAAGATAGAGTGCACAGCTGAGAAATCTCTTGCATTTCCGGACCTTGAACATCAGGAAGCGTAGGGAGGGTGAAACTCAGAGGAAAGATCTGAGTTGAGACCTTCGATTTTTGCCCATCACACTTTATAACCCAGGCGGCCCTACCAATATTTCAGTGCAGAGGCAGCATTTTTGCACTGGATAAACAAAGGTACGGTGACTTCTTCACAGTTTCTTTTCATTATGAGTGATTCTTTTCCTAAAGAAAAAGTTCTATTTCTGAGTTCTCTCCCCTCTCAAAGGGGAGGGGAGTTGTAACATTCTGTTTTCATAGCTCTATTTCTCCAGATCAAACCCAGGCAGGCATTTTTATAGCACACATTTCCGCACGTCATTGCCGATCCTCACAGCCTTGAGGAAACCGAGGTGCGAAGGGCTGAGCGATGTGTTCACCATCCTGAACGTAGTGTCAGAACCCAGATCCAGGCTTGGCTGTCTCATCCCCAGGGACGTACTCTTTACGCTGTTCTTTATGACTTTTCTTGCAGCAGGAATTCGGTTCTTCCGCCGTTTATCAGGTACCCGGTATGTGCCAGGCCTACTGTAAACAGCAAGAAGACATGGTTCCTGTCTCAGCATCAGAGAGATCAGGGCTCGAGGCCTGAGGCACAGCCCTGGGTCAGATGCAGGCCTCCGTGTTTGGGAAGGAGGAGTGTGTGTGTGTGTGTGTGTGTGTGTACGTGTATGTGTGCATGGTGTGTAGGGGTGTCTGTATATTGGTGGTTGGGGGCAGAAGATGCTCCCTGAAGTGTTGGTACTAAGGCAAATCTTTGATGGAAGGACTGGGGTGTGGGGATTCGAACCCTAGTTTCGAAGTGGGGACTTTGAACACTAGTATCGGACAGTAGACAGGCTGGAGTTGCTGAATTCTCAGAGGTACTAAGTTTTTAATCTGCTCCCCTTCTTTTGTTTTTTATTCTTTTGAGATGGAGTTTTGCTCTTGCTGCCCAGGCTGGAGTGCAATGGCACGATTTCGGCTTACTGCAACCTCCACCTCCCTGGTTCAAGCGACTTTCCTGCCTCAGCCTCCTGAGTAGCTGGGCCTACAGACATGCTCCATTATGCTCAGCTAATTTTTTGTACTTTTAGTAGAGACTGGGTTTCTCCATGTTGTTCAGGCTGGTCTCAAACTCCTGACCTTAGGTGATCCACCTGCCTTGGCCTCCCAAAGTGCTTGGATTATAGGCATGAGCCACAGTACCCAGCCTAATCCATTCCCCATTCTCTAAATCAGGGTAGAATTGGACTCAGGGCTGGTTCGGGGCTGAGGTTGCAGGGGAGTGAATGATTCTAGACACTGGGAAGGAGGAGTAATGGGTGATGAATCCGGCAGTTTACAGGACCATGGACTTGGAAGTACATTGCATGTCTGTGTATATTTGGTGGCTGTTCATTGCTTCTGCCTTGCTCCTGTGCCTGCCCATCTTCCATAGGAGGTCCCTGTAGCATAATGAAAATGAGAACAACCTTTTCTCTGGACACTAGGGAATCCAGTCTGATGGATAAAGATGGGTGGCTGTTAAACAGTCACATCTTGGGCTCTGTGTGTTCAGTGAAGCCTCATTTACCAGAGCTCTCTGATATGGTGAATGGTGGGGAAAAACACATGCTGTTATCAGAAGTCTGGCAGGGGCCATGTGCAGTGGCATGCACTCATAGTCATAGCCACTCTGGAGGCAGAGGTGGGAGGATCGCTTGAGACCAGGAGGTCGAGGCTGCAGTGAGCTGTGATAGCACCACTGTACTCCAGCCTGGTCGACAGAGTGAGACCCTATTTAAAAGAGAAAAAGAAGCGTAGCGGGAAGGCTTTTAGGAGATGGATGATGGTTAATTTTACTTCCACCTAACATTTTAAACTTTAGTATGTCAAAAAGTGAGAATTGCCAGCGTCAAAGCATGGAAACCAAAGGAAAACCAGAGGGTTGAGAAGGTGGGAAGGGCTGCAGTGTGGCAGGTGGCAGAGTTACTGGGATGGCTTCTGCTAAAGAAACTCATCCTCCGTCACCTTCAGGAAGGAGGCCCCGGGGACCCTTTAAGAGAGCAGTTTCAGTGGAGGCTGGGGGTAGGTTGGCAGAAACAAGATTATGAGATGGTCTGTGCTAGGTATCAGGCTTAAGGGTTAGTGCCTCTAGCCTATTCTGAGAAGTCTGGCTTTAAAGGGAAGGCTGGAGAGCTAGCATGATACTCAATAATAATAATACCTAAGGCACTTACTGTGTTCCAGACACCGTTCTAAAAACTCAACACATTTCAGGTCATTTAATCCTTACAATTATACAAAGTACGTAGTCTTTTCATTATACCTTTTGACAGGTCAGTTACATCCTGGAATTCACATGGCTAGTAAATACCAGAGCTGGGATTTGAAGCCAGGCAGTCTGGTTCCAGAATCTGTGTTTTTATTTATATTTTATTTTATTTTTGAGACGGAGTCTTGCTCTGTCTCCTAGGCTGGAGTGCAATGGCGTGATCTCGGCTCACTGCAACCTCCACCTCCCGGGCTCAAGCGATTCTCCTGCCTCAGCCTCCTGAGTAGCTGGGACTACAGGCACCTGCCACCATGCCTGGCTACTTTTTGTATTTTTAGTAGTGACAGGGTTTCACTGTGTTAGCCAGGATGCTCTCGTTCTCCTGACCTTGTGATCCACCCACTTTGGCCTCCCAAAATGCTGGGATTATAGACATGAGCCACCGTGCCTGGCCCAGAATCTGTGTTTTTAACCCACATACTATATTGACCTTCATCATGAAAAGATGGTGGTGGGCAAGCTTGTTTCTAAGGATGGGAGGTCCTTGTAATATCTGTGTGTACAGAGAGGACGGACAGTTGGGTTACTTCCTCTGTCAACCTCAGAAAGCCAGGAAGGTTGGCGGGCATTCCTGGGACCTCAGATATTCAAGGAGCCATCGCCTTGCAAATCAGGCATTCTATCTATCAGAGTTGTGCCATGAGGCCCCCTCCACTTCATCCCCAGAATATCTCCTAGGTAAGTTGCATCTCACGGGGCCTGGGTATAAATAAGATGGTGCCCTTTGTTGTTATGGAGTAGCTTGCAGCTGGGCCCCAGGTGCCCTGTGTGAATTAGATGAGTGATTAGTATTTGGCAATGTAACTGGAGAGGCTTGCTGAGTTACTGGGGCATATGTGCTCAGCTCATGAGTACCAGCCTCACTTCTGTCAATAAGTGAACAGAGTTTGCAGTGTTTACCAAGTACCTGTGGTGTCGTGGAGGAGAGTTTGGACTCTGGAATCAAACATGCTAAAGGTCAGATCCTAGCTCCTCCACTAACTAATTCTGTGATCTTGGCTAAGTGATGGTCACTTTTTTTTTTTTTTTTGAGATAAGGTCTCATTTTATCTCCTAGGCTGGAGTGCAGCGGCATGATCATGGCTCACTGCAGCCTCAACCTCCCGAATTCAAGAGATCATCTTACTTCAGCCTCCTCAGTAGCTGGGACTATAGGGCATGCACCATGGCACCTGGCTAATTTTTAATCTTTTGTAGAAATGGGATTTTGCCATGTTGCCCAGGCTGGTCTCGAATTCCTGGGCTCAAGTGATCCACCCACTTCAGCTCTCCAAAGTGCTGGGATTTCAGGTGAGCCGCCGTGCCTGGTCTGATGGTTGCTTTCAGAGCCTTGGTTCTTCATCTCTAAAATGAGGAGAGGAACACAGCCCAGTTTCCATGGGGAGCTCGCACACGCGGGCCTCTCTCCCCTCACCCCAGCCTTTGGTTAGATACTTACCATTTGCAAAGATCCAGCTTCTTCTTCATAAGAAGCTGCCACCACGCTTGCGGGAGTGACCCACTTACAAACAATTCCTTCCTTCTGGGTCATTCCTATGGATTAAATGACCAACCACTTAAAGCCACAGCCCAAAGAGCCAGAGGGAGAGGCAGCAGAGGGAAGATGCAGGTGAATCTTCATGCACTGCATGAAGCAGCTTTGTACCACAATCAGGAAAAGCTCCAGGCACACAGGGGCCGCCTTCACGGCCAATCAGAGTGCACCTCTCACCTCGGCAACTCTGCTAACCTAAATAGACCAGTCACACAGCAGACCTGCAAAAGAAGACAAGATAATTACAGAGACCCCAGGGGACCATCTGTGCTGGCTGATGCTTTTTCTCCTGACCCTTCAGACCTCTCTATTGCACCGCAGACTCTCAATACCTAGGGCCTTTGTTTGCTGTGAACACTTCCATTCCTGAGTACATTTTCTATGAGGAGTTGGCAGGAAGGGAGTCTCAGAATGGGTTATATTTTCAGTACACCTCTGGGTTCATATTGAATTTGGCTAGAACTGTTTTGACCCAGGTAACGATTTGACTAACGGATATGTCAATCCAACAAGTATTCTCTGGGTCCTTCCAACGTTTCTGGCACTGGTTTGATGCTGAGGACATGGAGATGAATAAGAAACAGTCTCTGTCCCCCAGCTGATAAGTTAACACTGATGGTCTCCCATGTGCCAGGGGCTTTACAAATGTGATTACCATTTCTTACAACAACATAGTAAGGTAGAAGGCATCTTTGTGTTAGAAGTGAGGAACAGGAAGTTCAAAAAGGTTAAGATATTAAGGTCAAAGTCACACAATTAGTAAGAGGTAGAACTAACCTTTGGATTTGGGGCTGTTCGCCATAAACCCTATATGCTTTTGATACAGACAGGAGACAGGGAAATACTGGGTAGAATAGGGCAGTTGCCTGGCAAAGGCCCTGCCCTCAAACTTGGAAACCCATGGCCCTAATGGGAACAGGCATTCCTCTTTTCATACCCACAAGTTGCCTTTTGGCCTGTCATGGCCCCCATCCTATACCATATAAACCCCAGACCCCAGGCTCCAGAAGCAGATGAGACAGAAGAGCAGAAGAATGGCAGAAGGACACAGAAGAGAGATGAGAAGGAATGTCTAAACATTGAGAGGGATTTGGCTGGGGGTGATTGGAGAGGAGATTGGCCACTGGGTGGCCAAACTCCAGGGGAAGATCACCTTTCCACTCCATTGCCCTTCCAGCTCCCCATCCATCCTGCTGAGAGGCACCTCCACCACTCAATAAAACCCCTGCATTCATCCTTCAAGTTTGAGTGTGACCTGATTCTTCTTGGACGCTGGACAAAGACCTAGGTACTGAAAGTGTCTAACACTTAAGTCACCCATGGATAGCAAGGCTAACAGAACACTGTAACATGTGCCCCTGGCTTCCTGACTCATTTGCAAATGGAAAATCTATTGCATTGTAGGAACCTTCTTTCTCCATTTGTATGGGGAGGGAGAAAGAATGGGTGGGCTGAATGAATTTATCCCTTGGTCCTCTCCCAACAAAGCTCAGCTATGAAAGATGAATACACCTCTCCCCACCCCCTTCTCAATGGAGCCGGGGAGAAATTGAAAACCCTCTGACAATAATGAGACCAAAGTTTGCAAGGGCAGGATGAGCCTGTGCTAATGGAGTAAGTGATGTTTCCTCAGTTTGGTTTTAGACTGTCTTTTCCTATGGGGGAAAAAAGTTCTGTCCTTGGGAGAAGTGCCAACTTTATAGATCTATTAATAAAAGAACTGGCAGGCTCACAGTTCTTGCCAATGAGGAAACTTGAATGAGAGAAGCCAGGCTCATCCTTGGCCAACATACTGGAGCCCATCATCCTAACTTTACCCTGTTTCCCATTACCCAAACATCAAGGCTAGGCAGCACCCCCACCCCTGGCCGGCCCCAACAGCTTCCACCTGGCTAAAGTCTGCACCTGCTCTAGACCAAGGGTTAGATGGAAACTTGGCATGGGAAGGGCTCACCTATGGGCAGGACAGAATCTATCCAAGGAGACCTAAAAAACGAGTACCTATGAGACAAGGGGTGATCCTGAAGGCAGGCAGGATAAAGGGCTGGAGCGACATGCCATGGGGGAATTTCTCCTGGTGAATACTGAAGTTACTAGATGTTTTGTCTTGCAAAAATCTCAAACTCTAACATTTGTCTCTCTTGCATCAAAACTGTCCTTTTGAAAGAAACCCACCTTTCAGTAAAGAAACTTGTATTGGCTTGTGCAGCCGGGTGTGCTAGTTTTGTGGAAACTGACTGGCCAGGGTGACCACGGGAGCAAGAGCCTGGCTCCCCTCACCAGTTCCTTGTGAAGAAGGGGCCTGGTCAGTAAGGCAAAGGACACTACTTGCCAACATTTGATATTGTCAAGTGCTTCTGTTTGGCACTATTTTGAATTTTAAAAATGTATCTCACTTTAAAAATTTGCATTTTCCTGATTACTGGTAAGACCGAGCATCTTCTCATATAGCAACTGGCCGTGTGCATCTCATTTTCTGTGAATTCTAGCTGTTCCCTATTTTTCCAATGGGTCGTTCCTTTTACTTGCTGATCTGTACGAGTTTATGACATATCCTGGAAACAAATACTTTGCTCTATATTGTTACCATCTTCTTTTATGCTGGTCACTTTTAAAAATTCATGTATTGTCATCAGAAGTCTTCTATACTCCTTATGTCATACACGTGTCATACTTTTGTTTGTGCATCATCTTTGAGAAGCTCATCCCTATCCAAGGTCATAAACATGTTCTTAATATTTTCATGTTTATTTTCCAAGGTTAGGTCTTAGAAAATTACAATATAACCATTTGTAATTTCACGTTGTGAAAGGTGGAGGAAGGGAATTTCCTGTTATTTGAGACGGAGTTTCGCTCTTGTTACCCAGGCTGGAGTGCAATGGCGCGATCTTGGCTCACTGCAACCTCCGCCTCCTGGGTTCAGGCAATTCTCCTGCCTCAGCCTCCTGAGTAGCTGGGATTACAGGCACGCGTCACCATGCCCAGCTAATTTTTTGTATTTTTAGTAGAGACGGGGTTTCACCATGTTGACCAGGATGGTCTCGATCTGTTGACCTCGTGATCCACCCGCCTCAGCCTCCCAAAGTGCTGGGATTACAGGCGTGAGCCACTGCGCCTGGCTGGGAATTTCATCTTCTTGCCCTTACCTGCATCTGAGCCGATTCTCGGTGTTCCTTTCAGTTATACTGGAACAAAAGCCCTCCTTCCTTCAAGCCAAGTCACCCCTTGCACCCTCGCCACTGTACTTGCCTTAAGTTTATATCTTCCCTGTAGTCATTCTCTCCTGCATCAATTCCATCAGCACAAAGACATAACTTAATTCCCTCTACCTTAAAAAAAAAAAAAAAAAAAATCCCTCTCTCCCTTAGGAGGGAAGTTGTTTGCAACAGGCCAATGCTACTTTCAGAGGCGTTTGAACCAGAGGGACTCCATTTTGAATAGGGGCTGAGAAAAATAAGGCTGAGACCTACTGGGCTGCATTCCCATGAGCTTAGGCATTCTAAGTCACAGGGTAAGACAGGAGGTAGGCGCAAGATACAGGTCGCAAAGACCTTGCTGATAAAATAGTAAAAAAGCCAGTCAAAACACACCAAAACCAAGATGGTGACAAAAGTGACCTCTGGTCGTCCTCACTGCTCTTTATACAGAAATTATAATACGTTAGCATGATAAAAGACACTTCTACCAGCACCATAACAGTTTACAAATGCCACGGACATGTCAGGAAGTTACCCTATACGTCTAAAAGCGGGAGGAGCCCTCAGGTCCAATTGTCCACCCCTTTCATGGAAAACTCATGAATAATCCACCCCTCGTTTAGCATATAATCAGGAAATAACCATGAAAATAGCCAACCAGCCTGCTCTGCCTATGGAGTAGCCGCTTTATTCTTTTACTTTCTTAATAATTAACTTGCTTTAACTCTACCCTATGGACTTGCCCCAAATTCTTGCATGAGGTCCGAGAACCATCTCTTGAGGTTTGGATTGGGAAAGTTTTAATCTATTAAAAAAAGCATCAAATGGGCATTCCAGAACTAATAAACATAATATTTGCACAAAGCAATCAATTGTTTGAGAGCAGATTGGATATAGCAGATGTCAGCATTAGTGAAATGGAAGATAAACCAATAGAAAACTTCAAAATTGAAGCTCAGAGAGGGGGAAAAAAAGGAAACAAAACAGAACAGAGCATAGGAAGCATGGTACATAGTTTAAAGTGTCTGACAATGTCTAATTGGAGTCACTGAAAGAGCAGAAAAGCAAGGATGAGATAGGAATAGTTGAAGATATAATGGCTAAGACATTTTCTCAAATAATGGGTAAACTATTAGAGTTAAGTGAATTTATCTAGGTTTTGGATATAGTGTCAATGTACACAAATAAGTTGCATTTTTTATAACAACAACAGACATAATACAGAATTTAAAATAACGTTTAAAATAGCATCAATCAAATACTTAAGAGTTAATTTAATGAAATCAGAACAATTAAAGACAACCCAAAATATGGAAGGATACATTATGCAATTGCTTTAGATTGTAAGGTTTTGTAGCAGGAGTGGCCGCGGGAAACGGATCTCTCGGACACCGAATACAGGAGGAAGGTTTATTCGGCCGGGAACAAGGTGGCATAGTTGCCATCAGCCAAGCTCATCTAACAAAGGGAGGTTCAGCCTTTATATAGGCTTATGCTTTAGATGTTACACGTGGAAGATCTTAGGTTTATAGCTTTAGAAATCACATATGAAAGGGTTCTGGTTTACAGTTTTAGGACTCACATGTGAAAAGCTTTCTGGTTTGATCTTGTTTTAAGTAAAAATAGTGCCTTCTGGAGAGTTTCCCCAAGGCCTAGCCTGTCACCTATAGGAAGGTAAAACCAGAGGCGCCAGTCAACCTTTTCTTCTACTGAAATGCAGCATGATGGTAAAAGGGGAAGTGGATCTGAGAAGCCTGGGTCTCCCTCTTCAGTTTAATATGGTGGGGATGTCAAATCTCTTTAAATAGACCTATAGATTCAACACAATCCCAAACAGTCTTAGCAGGCTTTTGGAGGTGGGGAGGATTAACAAGCTGATTTTAAAATTCATATGGATATGTGAAGGGAAGAGAATAGCTATGTTAGGGTTCTCCAGAGAAACAGAATCTTACTATATCAAGACCTATTTGAAAGCTGTAGTAGTTAGCAATGTGGTGTCAACACAAGGAGAGACAGACAGACTAACAGAACAGAAAATGTCCAGAAACAGTCTCATACATAAATGTTCCCAGATTTATGACAGACATGATAATACAGTATAGTAGAGAAAGGCTAGTTTTTTAAATAAATGGCATTAAGTTAACTGGATATCCACATGGAATATTAATCTAAATAAAACCTTTAGAAGAAAATAGTGTACATTTTCACCTCAGAATAAGCAAAACATTCCTAAACCCCCATTTCTTAGTTCCATGCTTAGGTTGAGTTTCTTTTACCACTTGGCAAGTCTATTCTGCTCCCCGTCTGAAATAAGCAGAGCTGCAACTTGGACGTGCTCATTTTGATTATTATCTGCACAATCCCCATCCAGTCTTTCTCTGGTAGTCATGATCTATTTGATTACTAAGCCACTCTTTGGTTTTATCATTAATTCAAACATTAAGTGCATACTTACATCACCCCTTGTCTCAAATACTCATTGTTCTTCAAAAACAGCTGCTGGGACTGGCATGTTGGATCCTTACAATGGAGCATCAGCGCCCCCCCTGACCGCCCCCCCCATTCTTATTCTTTATCATATGAGCCTGGATAATCCTCCTTATTCCTGATCTCCAGACACACCCTGAATTACCTCTCCTCCAGATCTACTCATGCTGCTTCCTCAGTGAGGTAACTTTGCCAATTACATCTGTACCACGCACCATCTAGGCTATCTGCCTTTGGCATCTTGTCTGCCCTGCCATTTTGGCCCAGGACCCAGGAGGAGCTGAACAGAAATGCGCAGAGGTATTAGTGACTCTTAGCGGCCTCCCAAGCCCCACACAGTGTGCTCCCTTATTTGTGGTCTGGAATCGTCCTGGCAAGAGGGTGTCCAGCCGCCATGTCCCGGGGCTTGGGGCTTGTGAAGGACTCCCTCTGCTGGAGGAGGAGAGCATTGAGCCCAGGCCTGAGTGCATTGTTAGTACCTGGCAATCCTGGGAGCAATTCTGGCGAGATCAAAGTGCTTCTCAAAGACGATGGTGACATCTATCCTGGAGAGTGAATCCTTCAGGTCACAGATACCAGAGATGGACAACTTGGCCAGAAGACATAGCCTTATCTCAGACATGACATGGACGAAGGCCAGCTGAAGGACCAGGGACCAAACTGTTCCCACCTGC